AGATAAAAATAAAAAATAAAGAAATTTATAATTGGAGAAATTATGGTTAATGTGATTAGTGTCTATACACCCCAAATAGGATTGGAGGAATATATTAAAAAGACAATTTTGGGATCATCTGGATGAGTTGATGCAACAAAAACTTGTTGAAGAGCAGATAACTATAGTTTTCTGACAGAATTGTGCATTGTCAAGTAAGTCCACCCAATTTTTGTAATTTACTATGACATAATGTCTCAGATATTCCTCCAGCAATGCATTCATCCGCTCCCCTTGACCATCAGTTTGTAAGTGGTTTGCTGTGAAAAATTTCAACTCTGACCTGATCAGATTTGAATAACTTAGTCTAGAACCGCTAGTAGAGCAAGTGTCCCGATCACTCACAATATCCTCTAGTACTCCAAGAGATTTTAATTAGGTTAAGTGTATGAAAAGTGAGCATTTGAGGGTGCTAGTGCCAGATGAGAAGAATAAGGAAATATGAAATAAGTGTTGATGGAACTGGAGAATAAAGGTTTTATTGTCAACTAAGGCTTCGTTTTAGAACATACTATTTTAGTAATTTTTTGATTTTTTATGAAAAGATGTGCAGAAAAGTAAAGAGAGCGATTTGACAATTTATAGTGACTTGTTGACTAAAATTGAAAGTTGCCAAACGAGGCCTTAGAGTTTGAGGTGAAATTTGAATTGAAGAAGATGAAATCTAGTAACCTAGTAGGACCAGATTTTATCCTTATAGAGGCTTAAAAATGCTTAGGTAAGAAAGGAGTATCTTGGTTAATAATTTTTTTAATAAGATTCTAATGACTAAGATAATGCTTGACAATTGAAAAAAATATTCTAGTGCTTGTGTATAAATATAATATAGATATCCAAAATTGTATTTGTAACAACTATAGAGGCATTAAGGTAATGAATCATATAGTGTAATTATAGGAGAGAGTGCTTGAACATTGCTTAAGAGCTACAACATTATTAGAGAATCAATTTGGATTTATGCTTGATAGATCAACTATTGAGATGGTTTTGTCATGTAAAACGAATACCTATTGATGCATTGGTAATGAAGAAAGATATGATCACCATAAATGGAAATGTTAGGGGGAGAGGAAGACATAAATTGATGTGGAATGCGGTAGTAAAAAAAGATATGAATATTTAATTTACCTGGGCATATACCCTTTGGTAGAGTAGAATGGTGAAAAAAGATTTGTGTAGCCGATCCCACTTGATTGGGATGCAAGGCTTAGTTTGTTTTGTGTTGGTTTAATTTGGCTTGATTTGGCTATGAGTTTGGTTATTATTTTGGAAATTTGTATGTTTAGTGGCTTAGCTCTTGTGAGTTTTTGTAATAATCCGTGTGAATATGTAGAGGTTCTTTACAGCAAATGACCTGCAATCTAATCTCCTATGAGGTATTTCCTTCTTTACTGGTATTTGTTGGTATATTGAACCAGCTTTCTCACATAAAACACCTTTGCACAAACTCATGGGGCTTACTTGTTAGGGTTTAGGTCTTGTGTATATTTGATGGGTTTCCATTCCAAGATAGGAGAATATTTACGTTGTTTTGTTTCAAAGTGTAATCTTTTCTTTACATTTGGCACTTTCTTGACTGGGTATTCTACTGCAGGTTTCACGTGGACAAAATGTCTTCGGCCCATGTTTATGTGAGACTGCACAAGGGTCAGACAATTGATGATATATCTGAAGGTCTTTTGGAAGATTGTGCTCAACTAGTCAAGGCGAATTCCATCCAAGGCAAATGCTTCAAATTCTTACTATTTTGTGCTTTAACTGTAGCGAGCCATTAGATAACCCTTAACTAAACTATCTGAGTGTCAAAGAAGTTAAGGACTTTCACCTTATTATATTCCTTGAAGATGGAAACATGCAACCATCCCCTAACAACACTCTCCTTCACTGAGTAAATTTTGCTTCTAAGTTATTTCTTATAGGAAAGTGCGATCACATATTAAGCTGGTGCAGTTTTGGTGTTCTCTTGATCTCCATCTTAAGATTATGAAAATAACCTATGAGTCTATGACAGTAATTAAAAAACACTTCCCACTTCCTTATTCTCTCCCAGCTTGCTATCAATCAAGAACTTCCATTTCCTTATCCGGTTCCACTTTCCTACTTTTTCTCATAGCTGTGCACTTAGAATGTGAGTGCCATCCTACTAGTATATAACATATTTCTCTTTTTTCAGATTTCGTGAAGACAGTTTTGTGACATCTTTAGGTAATGCCATTGGATTGTCCTGATTACATTACAGTCTTGCAACTGTATTGTGAGGGCACTTCATGTGTTACATTTGTCCTCTCGCTAAAGCCCCTGACAGCTTGCTTGCAGCATGTTAAAGAAAAGGATTAAATTTATCACTCGTAACACTTTTAAGGAATAACATTTAAGAAAAAAGAAATGAAAGGAGCGTCAAAAGTCCAAAACAAAGAAACACGCAAACAAATAAATAATTGAATAAATCTTGAGTTCAAATATTTAATTATGTTTTCAAAATTGAAGAATGGGATTAGATCCAAGGTTGTATGCTTGTTTTTGCTCAGTTCTTTCTTATTGTTTACTTGATTGTCCCATTGGGGGTTAGATTTTCGGTACAAAATTAAATACTATTAACTCCAAAGTTGGAAGTCAAGTATTGTGAATATATATAATATACAAATTGATGTGTTGGCAATATTTAAGTTAGCATCTTCCATATCATGAACTTCAGCTTATCATAGTAGTGTTAAAAATCTAGTTAATATTTTGTTTGCACTATGTGCATGAAGTACTAAAACTTCAAAAGAAAAGACAATAATGCATTCTGATAAATATGGGTAATTTAAGGGGGAAAAAACTGTCTAAAATCATTAGTTTAGATTTTTTTTATTACATTTTTTTGGTGGTTGCTTGAATAAATTTCACTTAAAATTGTGAGAAATATTGTAACTTTGAGGTTAAAACATCTGTCTCTACTATTTGAGTGTTTAAAAAAAAAAAACCCACCAGAACTGGGCTTAAAATATCACCTCACTATGTTATATCCACTTTTCACATGTTCTGCATCAACTTGACTTGGGCTGATGGAGATTATGACTATAATTAATGGTCTTGCTTTTTCCCTGCTTTGCATTTGGCAATGCTCTGGCAATGCAGTAACTCATTTCCTTGACATCATTTATATCTGACAGGAAACAAGGTGAATAATGTTGATGTTGTTTACACACCCTGGCAAAATTTGAAGAAGACTGCTTCCATGGATGTTGGCCAAGTTGGCTTCCATAATCCAAAAATGGTGAGCTTTTCTGTTGCAATTTGGTTGAATAGTGCCTATAACTTTCATTTTCCTTCTTTGTATTGAGCGTGGATGTGGGGATAGCCCTTGTTTGATATTGGTGATCTGTTTAGGTCCGCACTGTGAGGGTGGAGAAGCGTATAAATGAGATAGTGAATAGATTGAACCGGACAAAAGTAGAAAGGAAACCAGACTTGAAAGGTATTTTATAGTTTTTGCTTGCTTGTGAGATTTTTAGATGGACTTCATCTTCATTATCTAATTTCAGAGGATATATTATTTTTGTTGTCCTATTTGATTGAAATACTAGTTAATAACTACTCTCTGTTTTATTATTATCTTGTTTTCCTACATGTTTTAGTAATTTTTACTCTATATATACCACTACTAATTTTCAATATGTTATTTGTTTCTGAGCTGTACATCTTTGAATATTAACATGCTTTTGATTTTCTTTTTGGATATAAAAGTTATTTGTACCTCTATATTGTGCAGCGGAGCGCGAAGCAGTTAATGCAGCAGAAAGAGCAGAGAGAAAACTACAGCTGAGAGATAAAGTGAGTATTGTATTTTCTCTGCTGTTTTTTGACAAGAGTAATAAATGGGTGTTTATTATTATGTTCGCATGAGCTTGAAATCTTATTAAGTATTCAATTTTTTTTATAACTAAACTAGGAAAAGGATTTCTTTGCAAATATTCGAATCTACAGAAGAATTCTTTGTGCCAGTTAACTAGTGTTTGCAAATTGTTTGTATTCCTTTTTACCTTTGGCACTAAGTTTCTTATTGAATTGTAGTCATCAGTTTCATCTTGCTGCCTCATTCGTTATCCTGGCATTTCCATTTCCTTTTGTGAGCTTTCGCTTTGTTTCCGCATAGTCTGTGATTGTAGGAGTGACAGCAGGCCCATATTAATGACTGATATCCTGAACTGTACCTGTGGTTCATGTTAGTTTACTACATAAAGCTAATCCATCCTCACCACTTTGAAAGTTTTGTGGATATTGCAAATAATTTCTAATTTTGAAATCTCGAGATGTTTTGGGCAATTATAGATTGATTACTTTTGCTTCAATTTCCCTAGCAGCTGTTACTTTTCTCTCCTGGATATTTTTGTTGCTCTCAATTTCCTTGCCAATTCTCTCTTCATTTTCTGTGTCCTAGCTATTGTATTTGTTAATACTCTAGGCCCAATTATTCGCTCAATTAAATGTTCAAAATTGTCAGTATATCAGTTTCACTAGAATAAAGTTATTGCTTGTAACCACATCCCTGCAGACTTTTCAAGTTTGCTGCTAGCAAAGTGATTTGTCTTTCATTCCTTCAATCCTCTTCTCTAGTTATGCATTTGATCACCACTAGTCCCAATTCCACACGGTTAGTACATGAGTTCAACAGTTTATATCAAGCTATCCAACACCCTCCTTCATGGGTAGCTTTATCTTGCATGTGGATAGTATGGTAATGATCTTGAAATCCATTGCTTCAAAAAGAATATTATAAGCAAGATCTTTCTCTACAAAAAATACCAAGAATAAAGGCTCAACAATGGTTGATTTGAAACAAATGCCTAAGGTTGGAAGAAGAGTATTAACTTGAAAATTTATTAATTCACAAAAAACTGATCAGCCTTAAGGCTTACAATAATTATTTATAGTGACAAGCAGACCTAACGATACTTTGAGACAAATGAAATTGGCAGTTTCTTAACTAAGTACACAAAAATGAGGAAATACAACAAAAATTTCCAAAAATGGAAATATTTAACGGAATAAAAAACTACTAATTTAGGCTGACATGATGAAGCCAGATTCGATGGAGTCGAATTCTAACTTCTATGGTAAGAGTAATTGAAGTTGCAAAACTAAATAAATAAATAAACACAGAAAAATCTCAAAAGTGATGGTCTAAATGATGGAATTCACTTGAAATTTCAGCTGGGTTCATGGCGAAGCAATGGATCCCGTTCATAATGATGTTTGCCGTCAACCTATCAAATTTCACTCGATTTTGAGCACTTGCTATTTAATTGCTAGTAGTGCTTTTTGCCTTGTTTGGCCATGTGCATGCCTATTTGGTCCAAGAATTGCATGACCAAGCATGTTGCATCATATACAAACCAAACAAAGTTAAAACAAACATACTAAACAAGGAAACAAATGCAAACTGGGAGACTTAAACTCAATACTTCTCTGAATGAAAGCTCTAATAGTATGTTGTTAGAAAATGAGTCCAACAATATATATCAAACTATCCAACAATACCCATATCGACTTTACGCTTTGCTGTTCTCCCTATGGGAAACAGGCCAAGTCTTTACCAGGGATGATGTCATTCTGGTACTCAGAGCAGGATTAACCAACCTGGTAAACCAATATGCTACAATATGGCATTGAATGGGCTAGTAAAACGACATATTTGAATTTGATGGGGTGGTCCTGATTGGAGAATTTCCTTAATCCTCATATCAGTAATGAGGATTAGCCTAAAATACACTACTTAACTGCTTTGATATAAATATGTATCCCATCACCGTATGTATGTTGTACACCTGATGCAATTTGTTTTTTTGATTGGAAAAAGTCAGTTTTCCAGCACAAAAGCTCCCCATGTGGTGATAGTTTTGGTCATGAATCTGAACTTGCTTATTTAATCTGGAACATATGCAAAACTGACTTTTTATACTTTTTTTTTTCCCCTGTTCTTTGGAGGACTTCTTTTGTACTTCAATCTTTTTTCTTTAATAAAGTTTAACCTGTGTCACTGACAAAAAAAAATGGGTCAGCCTTTTCGATCCTAGCACTAATATATTCAAGTTGAAGGCATCAAATGGATAAGAGCAAAGAAAAAAAGAGAATGGTTTCATGTTGGGTTTTAAATTAAGGCATCATTTGGGATGTTAGCTGTTTTAGTTGGCTTTTTGGCTATTTTAGCCAATGAAAAAAAGTTGTGTTTGGGATGATTTGATTTGTAGGATGTAACATTTTGTGTTATTGGCTATTTTAGCTTTTTTTGTCTTGTTGGCTATTTTAGCATTTTTGTCTTTATTGGCTATTTTAGCCTCAAACCATCATCCCAAACACCCCCTAAGTTACATGTTCAATTAATCCCCAT